TCCCGGGGACCCCTCACCATCGCTGCATGTGGTGGGACCCAGGCACCTCGGGGACGGTGGCTGGGAGGCAGAGCCACCGCACCCTCCAGGCCGCAGCGGCCACAGCCACCTGGCTCCGCCAGAACTCGAGGGTTCACAGCTGGCCATCCCCCGGGAATCGGGGGCGTCACCCACGTCGTCCCAGAGCTTGGATCAGCTGAGGCAGGGTCAGAGAGGCTATGCGACTGGCCCCAGGTGACACGGCTCGAAGTGACAGAGCCGTTAGACCCAGTATCTTCCTGCGGGCACGGTCATCCCCGCCCCGACCAGGCTGCCCCATCTGAGGCATGACGCCCACGTCGGCCAGGACCACTGTGACTCTGGGGACCCTGTCCTGGGGGAGGTGGAGCCAGCACCGCGGGCCGTGGTTTCGGGTCCTGCCCCAGCTGATGGGGATCACCGCCAAGGCCTGTACCCCCATCTCCCGAGTCCCACAGGCTTCTCAAGCGTGGTTTCCACAGAGCATCAAGCGGCAGTCTCGTTTTCAAAGAACGCAGGTGCCGCTCCCGGGGGCTCCGCGAAGGCCCAGCGACATGTGGGGTAGGCAGGGAACGGGGGAACAGGCATCGAGAGACACAATCAGGGTCTCATTAACATTTAGATTGCAGCAGCCGCTCCACACACACACACACACACACACACACCCCCAGCAGCAGCAAGAGAATGTCTTCCAGAGTCCCAAGTACCTGTTTGGAAGATAACCCGCTTGAAAACCGGGGTCTCTCAAAATTTGTCTCTTGCCCCCAAGGTTGGTCTCGTTTCTTCTCGTTTGAGTCTCTTCTGTATTCCTGTCGTCTCAGACAAGCCTGGAGAACAGAAGAAGGGTTTTTTTTTTTTTTTGTCTCTGATCTATGACTAGCTTTGATAACTTTGTGCTTACTTCCCACTGTGAAGAACACGAAATACACGAGGTACATCTCTAGTGCGTGTTAATATCCGGTACCGGGCGTGAACACACTCGCCCCAAGCATCATTCTTTCTTCCCTTTGCCCAAAATGCCAGGTCAAAAATATTAGTCATTGCTTTTATAAACTCAAACAACAAACATACTAAGAGGCATTTTCTCAAGGATTTGCCCAACAATTGCCTCCTCAAGGAAGTACCTAACACACCGTATGAATTCTCTTCCTGGTCTCTTCCTCTTCATCGCGCCTCCTTCATACTCGCCTCCACTCTACTCTATCCCCTTGACTTATGCCGCAGTTGTAGGACAAGAATTTTCATATGTGAGACCCTTAGCATATGCTGTTCCTTCCACTTGGAACGCCTTTCACAGGATGTTCTCTCGTCAAATCCAGATCTATTAAGAACTACTAGCTCCTTGGCGTCTCTTGTTTTCCTGCCTCTCTACTCTCCCCTAGGCCAAATTCATTGCTCCTTTACGCATATGAAACTTGAATTATGCAACTTTTTTCATTTTGTTTTTGAGCCTGTTTCTCCTGCCAATCAGTGAGGACCCTAAGGCCCTCTTACCTTTTCAATCCCCCAGCATCTAGTATTTAATGTTAATCGAACTGCATTTTTGTTGTGGAGTAAAACGGCAATCCCCAAATACAAAATAAAAAAGATAAAATAACCGAGAAAATATATCTTTTTTTAAAAAATTTTTTAAAACAAAATTGAAGGAAAACCTACAACCAAAATATTTCTCCTCCAGTACAGGGGCTGAAAGAACCCAAAGATATCATGTGCTATGGGAGTTTCAACTGATAGTTTAAATACCCTCGAGGAGTAAGACTTCTTGGAGCATTTCTGGACTTGTAGATCCAGCGACCAGATTCACTCTTGCCCTGCCAGAGCTAAATTATCCATTTGCCACAGTAAATAAAGGTGACGTAAAGACCAACAGTATTGTTTCTAAACCAGGCCTGACATGTCTGCCTTCCTGGCTGGGTGGAGAAAGAAAAGATTCCTTCAGCGTTTTCCCCTTTCTGTTAGAAAATGCATCT